TCAGCAGAGCAATGTAAGCTTCGTTATAATTGCATCATCCATGACTTCTAGGAATAACATGATGCAATTCATATCATGTATGACGCAATACCAGCTTCAGATTTCATCATTCATTGTTTTGCCTAAAAAGCAAGTACTGTCCAAACCCAGTCATAGATTTATTCATAGATCCAGTCAAAGATGTATTTTAGTCATTTCTGGTTTAAATTGAGATCCCTTCCCTTTATAACTCACTTATCCTCCGCCGTTCCCAAGTCAAGGGTCGTATATACTGACCCAATAGCATATCTTGAAAACTAGAGCCAATCAACAATTTTAAGCATCATTTTCGTTCTCAGTGACCCAGAATTAGTAAAGTTTGACTAAATTTATTTCAGAAGTATTTTGGCTGTAGAGCAGTGTAATAGGCTGTTTTCCAGGAGGAATGTTGATTGGAGCTGGGTGAATAATTTGTCAGCCATCTTGTTTGCTAGAGTATTTGCAGAGAGCAGACACAGCTGGAGTGAATTTCTGGATGAAATCCATTCCCAGCCCCTGGTTTGGTGTTGGGATCCTGACACATGACCAGCCTCAACACAAGGTTTGTGGCCTCTGAACTTACACACCAAGCAGCTTGTGTTGGACAAGTTTGTCCTACTGCTCCCTTCTAATCCACTATCTTCAGAGTAGCTGCAGACAGGTGCTGGAACAATTTTTATAGCGGGGGGTGCTGAGAGTCTTTTAACCAAACTGTAAACCTTGAATATAATGGAAACCACTTCAAGCCAAGGGGTGCAGCAGAACCCCAAGGTCCAGCACCTATGGCTGCAGAGCTAATTTCCCTGGCTGAGTGCTGAGTGCTGAGGTCCATTGTGCATCTGCTCCTCCTGTGCCCCCCACCCCAAATAGATTTTGTAAAGCAGAGGCCCTTACATTTCACCCTTATTGTTCTAGATTATTTTTAAAACTAATCTTTGCTCTCAATCCTGACTGTGTTGAGAACAGACAGGGGTGATACTTCCAATCAAGTAAATTGGCCTCAAAGCAGTGAATTTCAGTGGCACTATATATCATACACCTCATATAATTTAATTAAAATATACATGTACATATGTCAGCACTTAATTACCTCAGGATAACTTTAGGGAAGATTCTCAAGAAGAATTAGGCCCTTGTGTTCCATTGCCTTTCAGTGAACATTGGGTACCTAACTTCTCTTTGTGAAACCTCTCCCCTAAGGACCAGTGGCCTGATTCTGATCTCATGCCAATGTAAATCCATTGGTTCCTGATTCACACTTAAATAACAGACCAAAATTTGGCCCCAGCTTTCTCTTTGTTTTCATTCTTTTAAGGAAAACAAAATGTGGATTTTGCTCATGATCAGATATAGTGCAGCAGAGACTTATAAATTTATACTAGCCAATGGGAAACCCATGTGAATTCACGAGTTGTGAAAATGAGCCAGTAAATCCCAACTGAAAAGTCAAGGATACTGAACTGCAGGTTGTACTTCGCTTATTTGTTTTGGGAACTATATCTTAGTTTCAATTCTGTCCTGAGACTTCATAGTATGCTGGGAAATATACAGTTATATGTTTTGTAAAACTAATGAGCTCTCATTAAAGCAACTTGCTGTTAAGTGTTAACTGAGAAACGGGAAGAGACAGCCATTTTGTGTAGGTGAATTATAAATTTTGCTGCTTAGCAAGGTTCTACTGTACAGTAACTCCTCACTTAACTTTGTCCCGGTTAACATTGTTTTGTTGTTACGTTGCCGATCTATTAGGGAACAAGCTTGTTTAAAGTTGTGCAGTGCTCCCTTATAATGTCGTTTGGCAGCTGCCTGCTTTGTCCACTGCTTGCAGGATTCTCTGGAAGAGCAGCCCCTCCTCGTGGGGATTAGCACCAGGGGGAGCTGGCAGGCCCCCATCCCCATCAGCGCCCCTAAATTCCCTGTACGGCCCAGCAGCAGTTCAGCTGTCCCTCCTCCCTGCCGTGCTGCTCCTGCCCTGCCCTCTGCCTTGGAGCTGCTCCCCGGAGCTTCCTGCTTGCTGTGTGTGTGTGTGTGTGCTGATATCAGGATGTCCCCCTGCTCCTGTCCCCCCATTCCGTACCCCCTCTCCACAAAGCGGAAGAGGGGGACAGGGCTCTGGGACAGAACGGAGGGAGCTTGCTGGAAGCTGTTGCTGACTGTCTGAACTGGCTGATCTGCTTAAAAGAGCAATGTACTTGAAGTGGGGTCAGTGTACTTAAAGGGGCAATACATCTCTCTCTCTCTCTCTCATGCATGCATCCCCCCAGCACTTTGGAAAGTCAGCACGTGTGCAGCCGTGCATGTGCTGTCAGGAGAAGGGAGTGATGCGCTCCAGCCGGATAGCGTAGACTCATCATCATGTTCAGTTTTTGCAGGGAAGTGTTTGTAGCTACTGCTCTGCATCTATTGTGTTTCCTCCCTCCTGCCTCAGTCCATGCTGCCTTGTAGAGTGTGAGGCTACATTAACAACAGCGTATTAACTCTTGAGGGTTCGGCCGAGTGCTAGTTCATCATTTAGCAGCAAGGCATTCCCTGGGAAATATCCCACCCTCTGACTCCACCACCTCAACCAAGCTTCACACTCATTCATTGCCATGTACAATATTAAACAGTTTGTTTAAAATTGTTTAAACCGTATACTGTATATGTATAGAATGTCTTTTGTATGGCGAAAAAAATTTCCCTGGAACCTAGCCCCCCATTTACATTAATTCTTATGGGGAAATTGGATTCGCTTAACATCGTTTTGCATAAAGTCTCATTTTTCAGGAACATAACTACAATGTTAAGCGAGGAGTTACTGTACGTCACTAACTGCATTGCAGGTGTGCAAAAAAAAAATAAACATTAGACTGTGTGTGGTGCAAAAGTGCAGAAAATAAACGGAGTTTGGAATGCAGTTGTTTCTTTGTTTCTCAAAACCTGTTGCTTCTTTGTTGTAGGCCGACACGGGTAAGAATTTAGTCACCTTGCCCTACACAACAGCAACTGCAACTCTGCACAGTGATGAAACCATCTGGCTGGAACCAGAGATTCTTTTCTCTGGGGCTCGCCAAGGTAAGATGTTAATTCTGAACCTCAGCCAGAGGCAGCAAAAGCAGTTTACTAAATCCAAAACCCACTAATCCCAGCAAATGTGTGCTCTCATTTTCTAGCCTTTGAGTTTCCACAAATCAATTATAAGAAATATGCTGGAAAACCCTATACGTATGCATATGGCCTTGGATTGAATCACTTTGTTCCAGACAGGGTAAATATTGATATTCTAATGAGGACACGTTTGACTTAAGGCATGTTATTTTAAGGCAAAATTAACAAGGAGCAGTACTGAGATGATTTTTCTCCCTTTTGCAGCTTTGTAAGCTGAATGTTAAAACGAAAGAGACTTGGGTGTGGCAGGAACCAGACTCATATCCATCAGAGCCTATCTTTGTTTCACATCCAGACGCCTTGGAAGAGGATGACGGTAAATGATTTTAGATTATGTTTACTTTTGTTCAACTAGATTCTTTTATAAGTTTGTATCCACTGACCCAGGGACCCAGAGCTATCTTGAATGCCAAGTCCTTTAGATGGACAGTCAATAAATTGCCGAGTGAAAGACAGGCATCAAGCAGCGAAGTGTCATAACAACACTGAGGCACTCAAAGTGTGCCCCAAACAAGGGTTGTTTTCATTACTGTGAAGCAGAACTGTCTAAAACAATTGGGAGGAGTTTCTGAAAATAGACCAGAGGCCAAGACTGAGGAAACAAGAGTTTAAGGTGTTGTGAATTTGTCCCTGCTCTTGAGCATTTCTATCAGGAATTACAATATTAGAAGCAATTCCAATAGCAGAGTTTTATGAAAGTATAAACCTAAGAACAAATGTCATTATAGTTTTAATGTGGGGGGGAGAGGAGTGAGTTTAGTGGTTGTGTACGTGTAGGATGCAAAGCACCCCATTTGCACAAGGCATAATGCAAGCCGGCTCTGTGCAGCCATACTCCTGCGCCCCAATGCTGAGTGTCAGCAGCAGCACTAGTAAAGGTAAGGAGCTATCCCGATGGTTTCCTGTATCATCCTGTCTCCCAAAATATGGTTAAAAGACATTGGGGGAAATCCTGACCCCATTGAAGTCAACAGTTAAATCTCCCATTGACTTAGTGGGTGAAATTTTGATTCCATTTATGTGCTCAATTCACGAAAGCATTTACGCATATGCTTAACTGCTATTTACTTAAATGGAACTTAAGCACACGCTTGCATGCTTTCCGGAATTAGGAGAACATCAGCTCTGGTTCAGTGCTTACATTTTTACAGACTTTGTCCCAAGAGTTTTGACATTGTTCTTTGGTGCTGCAGCACCTGTCTCTGCCCCCAGGAGTCACTGATAATTTTTTGGTATCTTAATGACTTTGTTTTCCATGCATCAGTATTTTTGTTTCTTTGCACCAGGTGCTTGTTTCTCATGTTTCAGTATTGCTGTGGCACTCTGCTATCAGCATGTGGGCTTAATGTACCAGTGCCTGAGTTTAAGGACACTGTCAGCAGTTCCTGCCACTTGCATGGAGGCAGATTGAAACTCAGTGAAGAGGGCTAGTTGGACTCAACGGAGTGATAGGCAGAAGGAAATAGGGCCTTCATGTCTCATGCTCTACCCTGCTTCGACTGGCTGCCAAAAAAAAAAATCTTAAGAGGTAGGGGAGTTCTGCCCATCTTGCACTTCAGCCCAGAAGTGAGGATCAGAAAAGTAGAATTAAAGTAGGGCTATGACTTTCATGTTGAGTTTTCTGTGACTTGAGCCCCCGGCACCTGGGAGCTCTAGGGTCCCTGCCACCCATGCCACCCCCGCAGCACCGGATCATGGAGCACCGCAGCCAGCAGGGGTGCCCTGGAGCTCCAAGCAGAGCTACCGCAAGTGGCGGGGATGCTCTGAGCTTGGAGTCACCAGTGGCATGGGGACCCTGCAGCTCCCCATTTTGTCATGCATATTTTTAGTAAAAGTCACGGATAGATCACGGTCTTCCATGAATTTTTCTTTATTGCCCGTGACCTGACTGTGACTTTTACTAAAAATATGCATGACAAAATCTTAGCCTTAATTATAAGGCAAATAATTTTCCCTTTCTACTTCTAATGTGATATAAATTCTACTGAGGGTCAATTGTCACAGGATCTTACAATATCATTTTTATGGTCACCTTGAGAATAAAGCTCTGCTTTTAAAACATTGTATACAATTGGGCTGCAGCTGCCATGCTATAGCGAACCTGCCTCAGAAATCAGAAAAGCACTGGCTTATTGGAAAAGCAAGTAAAAATCCAGAATGCTTTCTGAAGAAGAAAAACCTTTTCCTTTCAATAACAGTTTTATGGCCTCCATGCTTTTAGTAATAGCTATGCTCTGCCAGGATTCTGGAAGTAACTGATAGTTTTGCCACTCACAGGTTAGCGGGTGCCCGCGTTAGAGCCTAGTGTGGTACCTTGAATGCCATGTGTTTTTTGTTTATATAAATCATATTTACTTCTGCTTGCTAGGTGTCGTTCTGAGTGTAATTGTTAACCCTGGCGCAGGACAGAAGCCTGCCTATCTACTGATCCTGAATGCAAAGGATATGAGTGAAGTTGCCAGGGCTGAAGTGGAGATGAATATTCCTGTTACCTTCCATGGAATGTTCAAAAGATCGTGACGATTCTCTTCAGTGCACTTATCGTAATTTGCTTTTTTGACTTTGAAAAGGTACATTTCTAGTTACCAAACTCCAATATTCTATGTTCCTTCAATGTCTGATTTGTAAAACTCATTAAGCCTGAAAATTTCATTTTTCTTGATGTTTGCGGTATTTTTGTTTTGTAGCTGTGTTGGTCCCAGAATTTAGAAAGACAAGGTGGACTAGGTAATATCTTTTATTGGACCATCTTCTGTTGGTGAAAAAGACAAGCTTTCAAGCTACACAGCGCTCTTTAGGTCTGGGAAAGGTACTCAGAGTGTCTCAGACCTAAAGAAAAGCGCTGTGCAGCTTGAAAGCTTGTCTCTATCAATAGAAGTTGGGCCAATAAAAGATATTACCACCTTGTCTCTCGCTTTTCTTGATGGTCACTTAAGTATTCTCTCAACAGATTTTTCAACCTTGCAAACTCATTGACAGGATTTTAAAATGAGCAGCATCGAGCATTTTAAAACTTAAAAGAATGGTTCTTTACAGAGTTAAACTTTGGGGCAGAGATGCAGTTGAAACAGTACTATGTGAAATTCAGTGTGTTGTAGATTCAATAAACATCAGTGGAACAAGCTCAAGAGTGTCTTCCAATGACTGCTTTATGAGGAGACTATTTTATCCTGTATACAAATTTATTAATTTGACTAAATTCCAGTTTACTGTATTAGTTTTCTAAAACGCAGTATTTTTGAGTGGGGCCACCATAAATCCATCCAAGTTGTCGACTGTCCTTCCTGTGGCTGTTTTTGAGAACCAGGATCCATCTATGAGGCAGTAAGTCCATGACTTTGAGACACAGCATTTTCTTCATTGATAACACGCACACGCCAAAGAAATTTTGAAAGCTGCAGCCAACAAAGTAGCAGTTCACGTTCGCCCTGCACCCTTCAGTTAAGGAGCAAGTCCCCTTTCCAAGCATTATAGCAGTCAGTATGAAAGAAAATCCCCCACCTTTCTCCCCTCTTCTCCTAATTTTGGGAGCAAAACCTTCCTGATGCTTCAGGTAGCAGGTTTGCATACGTGACCAAAATCAAAATCCAAACTTAATTTAAAGGAGGTTTGGATTTAAATATTGGCCACTTGCTTGCCGGGTGAAAGTACTCTTATGACTCTCAGAAGTCCTGCCAGCCTCCAAATCAATATAATAATGTGCCGTCAGCTAAGTTTGGTATTTGTACAGTAACTCCTCGCTTAACGTTGTAGTTATGTTCCTGAAAAATGCAACTTTAAGCAAAACAATGTTAAGCGAATCCAATTTCCCCATAAGAATTAATGTAAATAGTGGGGGTTAGGGTCCAGGGAAATTTTTTTCAACAGACAAAAAACTATATATTATATAGATATACACACTGTATAGATTTTAAATAAACAATTTAATACTGTTCACAGCTGTGATGATTGTGAAGCTTGGTTGAGGTGGTGAAGTTAGAGAGTGGAAGAGGGAGGGATATTTCCCAGGGAATGCCTTGCTGCTAAATGATGAACTGATGACGGCTGAGCCCTCAAGGTTTAACACATTGTTAATGTAGCCTCTCACACAAGGCAGCACGAACACGAGGGAGGAAGGGACCATAGCAGACAGAGATAGACACACACCTTGTGTGTGCGAGAGAGAGATGCACACTGCCCCTTTAAGTAAGCTGACCCGCTCTTAAGTGCCTTGTCTTTTTAAGTGGATCAGGAAGTTGAGACAGCAACTGCTGCCCCAACCTCTCTGTCTCTCTCTATCCGTGTCCCCTCCCTGCTCTATATGGAGAAGGGGTAAGCGGGGTGCAGGAGCAGGGGGACACCCTGACAGCCCCCCACCTTCACCCCCCAGCACAGCAAGCAGGAGTCTCTGGGAGCAGCTCCAAGGCAGAGGGCAGGAGCAGCATATGGCAGAGGGGGGAGGGACAGCTGAACTGCCGGCAATTGATAGCCTGCTTGGCGGCTGCAGCACAGGGAACTTAGGAGTGGGGAGTTGCTAGGGGGGGCTGCCTGTCCACCCTAGTTACAAGCCCCCACCAGCTAGCTGCAGTGGGCTGCTCTTCCTGCAAGCAGTGGACAAAGCAGGCAGCTGCCAAACAACGTTAGAAGGGAGCATTGCGCAACTTTAAACAAACATGTTCCCTAATTGATCAGCAACATAACAATGGAACAATGTTAGCTGGTACGACTTTAAGTGAGGAGTTACTTATTTGATGCAAAGATCCAGAAGGCTATATGAAAAATAAAGCTATTACAGTTCATAACTGAGGTACCTGCTAGCAGCCAGCTTCTGGGTAAAATATAGCATTATTTGACTCTGAATTCCTGGAATTCTGTGCCAGAGCTGACAAACTAGTTATATTAAATAACTAGAACACTATTCATTATGTAAACATTTTATCTTTTGATGTTAAAAGTAATATTAAAGCTGGAATATTATCTCAGACCCTGAGCTGAAGTAATATTGTCTGTTAAAGCTTTGTTATCCCAGAACTTACTATAATTTCTTGTCACTGTCAAAACTCCTATGTGAGATGCATTTAGCTCCTGCTTTCTTAGCACATACAAAAGATGCAAAGAAAAGGTTTTTGTCCTAAAATTTTCTACTTATTTGCAGAATAGGTCTCCAATTCTTAGGAGGCCAGGGGGGCTAGTTAAATTGCCCCACATTGCCCTGCTACGATACCTCAAAGAAAGGAAAGACTGCATCTAGAGTTTTCAGATAACCTGCCAAATGGATTCTTGACCTTTACTGAACAGAGACAAAAGTGCCAATTCCAGGACTAGTTTCTCTGAGGTCTCTTTCAACATTGATTCATTTCACATAGGCCAAACAGCCTTCAGATTGTAACAGCTTTCAGTTAGCAACCTGGGCTGGAGGAAGGTCTACTAACAGTACTTAGGTCATATCATATAATACTTTTGCAGCCAGATCTCAAAGCACTTTACAAAGGAGTACATCATTATCATGACTATCCAGATGAGGAAACTGAGGTACAGAAAGATGAAATGACTTGCCACGTAGGCAGGAGAGCTGGAAACAGAACCCAGGGCTCCTGTCTCCCAGGTCAGTGCCCTATTCGCTGACTCACCATGTGTCCTTTAACTAACTGAACACCTAGCACTGACTAAATGTTACCCCAACAGTATGGAGAGACTAGATCTCTGAATGTTTGGTCTGATTAAAAGTCAACGGAAAGACCCCCGTTACATTTAGAGGGCACTGGATCAGACTCACAGTGATGCAGATTATTTATAATGTATCATAAAAGACAATTTCAAAACAAACTAGTTCAGAAGCAAGAAGGATCCCTTCAGCTCCTATTTACACTGACGAATGCTGAGAAGTTTGACAGTATAATACATGGGTGGGCAAACTTTTTGGGCTGAGGGCCACAGCTGGGTATGGAAATTGTATGGTGGGCCATGAATGCTCATGAAATTGGGGGTTGGAGTGTGGGAGGGGGTGAGAGCTCCAGCTGGGGGTGCAGGCTCTGGGGGGGGGCCAGAAATGAGGAGTTCAGGGTGTGGGAGGGGGCTCGGGGAAGGGGCAGAGGTGCAGATGGGGGTGCGGCTTGGGATTAGGATTTGGGGGTGCAGAAGAGTGCTCCGGGCTGGGACTGAGGGGTTCCGAGGGTGGAAATCAAGGCTGGGGCAGGGGGTTGGGGCATGGGAGGGGGTCAGGCTCTGGTTAGGGCTTACCTCAAGCAGCTCCTGGAAGCAGCAGCATGTCTCCACTCCAGCTCCTACATGGAGGCGTGACCAGGCAGCTCCCATTGGCCACAGTTCCCGGCCAATGGGAGCTCTGGAGGTGGTGCTTGGGGCTGGGGCACGTGGAGCCCCCTGGCTGCCCCTATGTGTAGGAGCCCCCAACCCTGCTCCCCAGCTGGAGCGGGGCAAGCTCTGGACCCTGCTCCCCAGTGGGAGCTCTAGGGCCGGATTAAAAACGGCTGAGGGGCCAGATGCAGCCCTTGGGCTGTAGTTTGCCCACCCCTAGTATAGTGACTTTAAAGCAAATATCCAGGGAAGAATAAATCCTTTATTTTTCATATCAGCTTCCACTCAATTTTTATTAATTTTCATTGTTTTTCTATTGTAGACTGAGAAACTACAGCTTGCTCTTATATTTCATATACAAAGTGTGAATGTTAATAACCCAAGAATCGTTTTTGCACAAAGAGGAGTTTGCTTCATTAAACAGACTGTGTCACGATCCAAAAGTTTATTAATTGCATTTTCTTTTTTCTTTTCATACAGTGTAAGTTTCAAATTTGCTAGCTCAACAGGGATCAAAATACAAACCTAATCCAAATAGCCTGAAATCTGAGCTTCCTTTTTGTATACTGACAGTTTCTAGAACTAATTCAAGTTATATTAAAGGTATCAAACTGTTAGAAAATCACTTCCATTTAAAAAATTGTATGTTGGCATTCTTAAAAATCCAATTATTTGCAAATGGCAGTTTGATTACAGTCTGATAACGGGGTAGTGTTGCAGAGATGTGATCTGGTACTTCTGCTGTTTCATAATTGTTAAGCACTGTGCAATCACCTGATGAAAAAGAAAACAGGATAAGCAATTAATCCTCCAGAAACTGCGAATACTAGAAGTTACATTATGTTTAGAAACTCAGATAATGCTTTTGTTTTTATCTCTTTCGTAGAACAATTGATGCTTAAAATTATGAACTGTAAAAACTAACATATGCACACATAGAAGAAAAATAGACATTAGAGCAATATTTTGCTGGGGGAAGGAAGAGGGAGAAATGTCCTTGGGAGATCAATAGACAGTGTGGAGCAAACAGATGTCACTCTACTTTAGGCAACTGTGAAGAAAGAATATTAATTTGACGTAACTAATGACAAAAGTATACATTTTTTATTATTAAACTATCTTGCTCCACCCCTTTTGTTTGACCAATATACAATATTCATTTCCCTGATCATCCAACCTAAATGTCATTACAACTCTGCACTACTGGTATTCCCAATTGCACAGAAGAACTGACTATCCTGCTCCCTTTCTCAAGGCTTAATCTTTTAGAAAATCGTTTTTCTTGGTCTCCCATGGATCAATATCTTGTCCAGTTTTTGTCTTGAAAAATAAGATCCTTTCATTTGTTCAATTTTAAAGTAAGGAAATCACAATTTCTATATTAGAATGTGATTGCTTTTTCTTGTTCTAAATATACTGATTTATAGGGACTCGGATCATGTTTGGCATAGTTTGATATAGAAAGACTC